TATCTAAATTTAAACTAAAAAACTAAAAAAATAAAAAATAAAAAAAGAAGCTTTAAGGGAAAATGTATAACAGATATAGTATAGGTGGTAAATAGTGTACCTTGGTACAAAGCATGTCACAGAGATTCATGGCTCAATATCTTATGTAGCCCAAATCAAGTTTATTTCATTTGAAAAAAAAAAAAAAGAAGAATGTGCCTGTTTTACTCTTAATGAACACTTGGGTAGTTCTCCAACTGTTCTACTGTGATTGGGATCACTTCTGTGTTGGTTCGCTACCAGGAGTGTGTCATAGTCTAACTCAGTAGGTAGATATGGCCTTTACAGAATGGCCAGCAGCCAAAGTCGAAGCTGTTCCTCCTCCCCACAGCTCAGGTGTTTTCTCTTCAGTTTCGTTTTGATCATACTGGTGCCCATATTTTTCTAATTCACATGTGTTCTAGATGCCCTTTGATGAGATACTTGAAAGCTCTTACCTGTTTCTCATTGTGTTGTCTGACTTTTCTTTATTGATTTGTTTCCTATATATTCCAATAAAAAGCCTATTGCAAAGCTTGTGTTGTAGAAGTCATGCACTGCTATATAGTGTCCCTTTCCTCTAACTGACATGTTTGTTTCCTAATATTATTAAAGTCCTATTTAATTAAATGCATAAGCTTATCTCTAGTGTTTCTTTGTGTCTGCCTCTAAAATTGCAAGTGTACTTACTTGTTTTCTCCTGGAAGTGTTTTGCCTTTTACACTTAACCTCTTGTCTGCATGAAATTTGTATCTGTGTGGTACAAATGGTAGGCTAAAATACACTAGTTTCCATGTGGCCACCAGCTAACATGCAGACACTGTGTCGTTCCCATTATAAAGAATAACATTCATACAGAATTCTATTCTAGGCTCTGTGCTGTTCCATTACAGCCAACTTTATTGTTGTTGTTAATATTGAAGCAAAGTGGTAAGTGGGTGAAGTTCTTGAGACAGACTTCCTAGTTGAGTGCAGTTTGTTTATTCAGACAAACAAGGAAGCAGTGTTAGGGCATTTACACTTAAGTTGGAAATGTCACATTAGTGTGAGAATGCAGTGTCTCAACCCGCACATGATGGCTTGTTTTTTGTTTTCTTTTAATTTCACTTTTGTCACTAAATGATGTTTCACATATTGCAATGCATATTTATGCTTTATATCTGGTGTTTATGTGTTACAGCACATGCATTTTACAGTATTATGATATTTTCATAATAAAATATATAATTGACATTACACAGAAATCATTACATAGAAAATCCAGAAAGAAAATTATTTCTTCTTACCTTTGTGTCATCTAAGGCAGGGTAGGGCTGTGACATCAATAATTATCTAGTTGCTTCGGTCAGTGGTAGCTGACTTCTCTTGTTCTGCATGCCCGTCTTCTCCTGTCCCTCATGTCCATTCTCTCTGTATTGTACTCAACAATGTCATCAATACTGACACAACAGCCACTGTCTGGACATCAGGACAATGAGGACATAAAGGGGAGTTAGCCACAAAATCTTGACAGCAAGTAACACAGGTAGTTCTGCCCACATTACTTTGGCCTAAACACACTGCATGTCCTCACCTAACTGGAAAGGAGAAAAATCCCTACTTTGTGCCCAGGAGGAGAACTGGGTATATTTTAGACAATGGTCACTTCGTGCATGATTGATTTTGGAGCACATGACCTTTAATTTGTGTTTATCTAAGAAAAATAAATACACAAAGACAAACCCATTTTTTTTCTCATCATATCATGTTGTTTCTAAACCTCTGAATGAAATTCTTGTGAGTATAGGCAAGGAGGCCTTTCCTAACCAAACCCTTCCATGGCTTCTCCTCCCCACTGCGGGCTCTCCTTTGGACATGTCCACACCCACTGCAGGCTCTCCCTTTCTACCCCAGCCCACCTAGGATTCGCAGGGACTTGCCATTTCCAAGGTACTCGTGATTGAATGTTTTTATTTCCTTGTTTTTACCTGACTTTTCTGTAACTTTTAGGTTAGAAATTTCCTCAAAGAAACCCTCTAAGATGCTGGAATAGGTGGAATCTTCTCCATTCCATTCTCTCATAACAGTCTGTACTTTACTTCTAGGACAAATCTTTTTTGTTCAACCCATTTCTCAATTGCAGTATGAGCTTTAATGCTCTGCTCACCACACTGTATGCTCTCCCTTGGGTCTAGCTCAGTTACTGGCATGCAAGTGCACATTAAATACTATCTGGTCATATCTGTATATTTTATGTCTGTGGCATTCATGCAATCTGTAGAGAACATGTCTGTGTGTTTCTGTGGTCCACAGAGGACAGTTTGATCATGAGAAATGAATCAGGGAAACTGCAGATACATTCATGCTACACCTCTATGCCATGGGGGCTAAGAGCTTCCAGATTAATAATGCTTTTCCTGTTCTCTCTAAATTAAAATGCAGCACACCTAGATTTTCACTTTATTTAAGAGGTTTTCATGTTCTCTTTTATTGAGCAATGTTTTTTATGTTTAAGTTGAAAGCCCTAAAGTCAGGGTATATATAACATTCAACATAAATAGCAGTTAAACTGCCCAAGCAATGGGGACATTATACTGTTACAGTCAGTAAGCAAATAAACCCTATGATACTAAGCTGTGTTTTCTCCTAGCTTTCTGGAGGTGGTACTGAATTACCAAAACATGGTGTGATTCAATTTTTGTAATAGTTTGCATCAGCAAAAGGGTGTGTATGAGATTATTTGAAAAGCTGTGCTGCACAGGACTCCTTCACTGCATCTGTGCTGCACAGGACTCCTTCACTGTATCTGTGCTGCACAGGACTCCTTCACTGCATCTGTGCTGCACAGGACTCCTTCACTGCATCTGTGCTGCACAGGACTCCTTCACTGCATCTCTGCTGCACAGGACTCCTTCACTGCATCTCTGCTGCACAGGACTCCTTCACTGCTTGACTTCATTCCCATGTGTGTAGACAGCCTTCATCTTCTCTGTTCTTCCTTTCAGAAACAATAATAAAACTTACCACCTTTCTGTCTATCAGTGTCATCGTGGCCTGTCTCCTACAGTGATGATCTTACGGTGGAGCAGATGGGATGGCGCAGACACCCTTATCTCCATGCTCTTCATTCCTATTCCAGAAGAGATACACTCTCTATTTTTTCTTCCTTTTTTTATTTAAGTTAGAAACAAGTTTGTTTCACATGTCAATCCCAGCTCCCTCTCCCTTCCTTCCTCCCCAGCCCTCCCCACCAGGTCCCCCAGTTACCCACCAATCTCCACTCTGATCCCCAGGGAGGGTGAGGGCCTCCATGGTGGATATCCAGTCTGACATTTCATCCAGGGCAGGGCCTAGGCCTTCCCCCAAGAGTCCCGGCTGAGAGAGCATCCCTCATTGTGGGATGGAGAGCTACTCTTTAAGTCCATGTGAATGTGAGATTATAAGGAACATGGATGCAGATGATATTTGCAGAGCCTGTGTACTTATTCAATGGTACTTTTGAGTAATAATTTTTAAAGTCTATTGTATGCCTAAAGCCAGGGAAACTCAGAAAGAAATGAGAACTGTAGGTGCAATTTTAACATTTTATGCAAGTAGTGGTAGTAAGAGCTAAAGTGAATCTTCTGCCAGCTTTAGTTTCCTCAGTTAAAGAGTGGGGATGATAAAATACTCACTAACAGTGCTCATATGTGGAAAAAATTACACCATCCAAGCACTCATCCTATGACTTGAAAGAGCCCAGAGTGTGCTGGCTGCCATCTGTCGTCCTCCATTACCTATATTCCTCTCTCCCCTCCCCCGTCTTCAGCACACTGTCGTCACGGCTACATTGTGACACCACCTTTGCTTGCCACCGTCTCTTCTTTTACACCTTTTCAACCTCAGAAATCTGTGTCGTTTCCTGTCTCTGGGGAGCATTAATGTCCTGTCTTCCGATTTGTTACTGTTCTCATTGCTGTGACCAGAATGCCCAAAACGAAGGAGAGATTTGATTGGTTCAGTCTCAGAGGGGTTAGTCCACACTTGCTTGGCTCCTTGTGGTTGGGGAGCATGTGAAAGTTGTTCACTTTGTGTTGGATAAGAAGCAGAGAAAGGGGGGGAGAAGACAGACAGACAGACAGATAGACAGAGACGGAAGAGGTTAGAGCAGGATAACAAGTTATTCCAGTGATTTCATTCCTCAAGCTTAATCTCACTTCTAAGCACCAGCTGGAAGCAAGCTTTCCATACAAGATCCTCTGGAAGACTGAATTCAAAGCATAACACCTCCTGCCCCTGACCTTCTCACCTCCTCTCCCCCTGACCTTCTCACCTCTGCCCCTGACCTTCTCACCTCTGCCCCTGACCTTCTCACCTCTGCCCCTGACCTTCTCACCTCTGCCCCTGACCTTCTCACCTCTGCCCCTGACCTTCCTCACCTCTGCCCCTGACCTTCTCACCTCTGCCCCTGACCTTCCTCACCTCTCCCCCTGACCTTCCTCACCTCCTCTCCCCCTGACCTTCCTCACCTCTGCCCCTGACCTTCTCACCTCTGCCCCTGACCTTCCTCACCTCTGCCCCTGACCTTCCTCACCTCCTTTACCTCCGACCTTCCTCATCTCCTCTGCCCCTGACCTTCTCACCCCCTCTGCCCCTGACCTTCTCACCTCTGCCCCTGACCTTCTCACCTCTGCCCCTGACAGCTGCTCACTATGGACCGGATATGTCAGACTGCTGCACTTTACAGCCTTGGCTGTGCTCCTGCTCCTGGCTGTTTCTTGGTGCAGACACCTTGCCTCTTCAGGTTGCCTACCCACAAGCATTTTAGTTCAAATGTGTCCCTTTTAGTATGTCCCACTCTTAGTTACCTCTTCTCATCTCTCACTAGCTTCTGAGTTCCATGACAGCAGAGAGCCTGCCTGCCTCACCACATATCACTCACTGTAGGTACTCAGTAAAAATGCACTACATTATGTACTATGATATGCTGCAATTTTAATGTTAATGTGTTTATATTATTCTAGGTTCTTGGACTTGTCCAAAACATGAGTGTCTTCCAGTGCCCAAAATGTAAACACAAAACCCATATTTTTGGTGCTGATGGTGCAAGAAAACTAGCACAGACCCTTGATCTTGATGTTCTAGGTAAGACCTTAGAATGCTCTTTCGCAGGGGAAGTTTCAGGAGGGGAAATGGCATGGAGTTAACATAAGCAGTCGTTTGGGACTCCGTGGTTTTGGAGTGTTAGTATAGCGCCACTGTATGTGTCAGGCTCTCTCTGGCATCTGTGAACAGGCTCGTTCATGATACAGTTTCTATGACAGATTGAAAACTGCCTGTATATTCAGTTTGAGGAGAGAGATGTGGTCTGGGTACCATGGTTTGAAGCCATTTTAAAGGGTGGTAGTTAGCTTGGCTGTGACATTGGACATAGATGCTACCGTACAAGTAGGTGGGCATGGCCATGTCCCCTCAGTGTGCCACAGCACACCTTCTCAGAGTACGTTCCTGGACTGTGTGTAAGGGCCTTCGTGAGAAATTCTTCTTCAGTCTTTCAGCTGCTCAATGACAAGATCTCCTTCCAATGACTGTGATATACAACTGCAATTTCTACAAAATATGGCACTTGAATTTTCATTGTAGATATTGTTTATTACCTTGAATCCAAGAATTAAGTAGGAAAAGGGGGAACTCATGTGATGAGTGAAAAAACAACAGCAACCCAATTTTTGAGTAAAACATGATTTTACAAAAAGTCCACAAGCAAGCTATGGATGTTTAAGACAACATGCTTTTCTATTGCAGTCCTGAATGAACTCCTGTTCAGAGCACACACAGATGTTACTAGCTTCAGGTACTTGGAAATTAAGATCCTTTAGAGATGAAGCAATTTCAAAACATTATTATAAGTTTCTGAAAGTTAATGCTAAATGCATTGTTGTTATTATTCATTGCTCTGTAGTTGCAACTACAATACCAGGTGAATGCTAATGATATATTTTGATACATTACTTAGTTATAGCTACTAATTATTTTCTGAAACTGTTCTTCAGTTAACTAACCTAAAAAGTTCAATTTTCCAAATCTGCATAATAACATAACAGATTGACTTTCACTTATGTAATAAAGTAAATGTATAATTACAATGGCATTATTGAATTATGCTGGCAGTGTACTTCCCTAACTTAGAACAAGTGGGACAGTTTGGCAACTCATTTATGTAGATGTTGCAGACTCCCAGACACTGGAAGTTCTCTCTCAAGTAGCTGCTCACAAATGTGTGATGACCTAAAACGGTGTCAGAGGTAGTGGCTGCTGGGCCTGCTGTGGAACTGCGTCTCCACGCTGTTGCAGGGACAGTGATCCGGAGTTCCCACTCATCTACTTAATGCAGTCAGGGAAGCCCGGAGAGATCTCCTGTGCGCGAACTGCAGGCAGCGGTCTGCTTAGACCGAGGTTGGGACTGCGGGTGAGGAACTGAAACTGGGGAGACCTTGCTCAGCTAAGGTTTTCTGCAGCTTAACATCCCCACCTCAATTCGTTTCTGACCTGTGGTTGATAGTTCCTGAAACAGCTCTTTGAGTTTTTAAATTTATATTTGTAAATGTATGTGTGTCGTGTGGTGGCACGTGTGTCATTGTGTTCACGTGGGGACCAGAGAACAACTTTCAGAAGTCACTTTTCTCCTTCCATGACATGAGTCCTTGAAATTGAACTCAGGGCCAAGCGTTTTTACTGACTGAGCCACCCCTCTGTCCTGAGGTGGCTCTTTAGACCTGTATCCATGTGAACCAAAAGGAATAGATGACATACAGTAGTTAAGTCTCAGACCATCCCAGAGCAGTCTGCCCAGCATCTGGAATGTGCCCTGATTTCTTTCCAAGATGTCCTTCCTGCCCAGGCTGCTCCTTGGGCTTCATTCCCATTCTCACTGTGGTCTTCCACGGTCTTGTGTCTATGTGTAGTAGTAGGACTCTCCGGAGGGCAAGTATGATGTCAGCATTTGACTGAAATACAGGGTTGGCCTGTCTTACTCCATTTCTGCAGCAGAAAGAAGCCATTCAGGTTTCCTTGCCTTTCATAAATCAAGAGAAAAACCTTCTGGGTTTCTAAGCTCTTTATGTAACATTTACCTGCCTGCTGCTGTGAGAATCTTTTACAGTCTTAAATTGACCTGCAGAAGGGGCATCAAATTTGCTGCAAAGCTAATCTTTAAATGAAATAATCATATATTTTGTCATTTATTTTATCTGTCAGGGTTCTCTAAATTCTCTAAAGGAACAGAATTCTGTGTGAGAAAGAGAGAGAGAGAGAGAGAGAGAGAGAGAGAGAGAGAGAGAGAGAGAGAGAGAGAGAGAGAGAGAGAGAGAGAGAGAGAATGTGGTGTATACTTTATTAGAGTGGGTTACAGTCTACAGTCTGACTGGTCCAATAATGGGTTTGAACCTGATGCAAATGGCTAAGAATCTAGTAGTTGTTCAATTCACAAAGCTTGATCTCTCATTTGGTATTCAATCCATGTTGGAATCCTGAAGAAGTAGGTTCTAATACCAGCAAAGGAATGTTTCGGCAACAGGATGGATGAACTTGCCAGCAAGAGTGAAGGAAAGCGGGCAAAAAGCAAAAGCTTCCGTCTTCCATGCCCTTTTACGTGGGCTGCCACGAGGAGGTGTGGTCAGATTTAGGGTGGTCTTCCCACCTCAGACCATCTAGGCTAGCAAATCTCTCACAGGTGTGTCCAGCTGCATGGGTTTTAGTCGGTTACAGATGTAGTCAAGTTGACAACCAAGATTAGCATCGTGGATATTTAGGAAAGCGTGAAGATTGTATGAGCAGAGTACAGCAGTATATATGTGTGAAAATGGTATAATGAAAGCCATTTTGCACACTAACCAAGAAACATGAAAATAGCTGGGACAAAAAGAAAATGCAATTGCAGAGTTGGCTGATAATAGCAGCCTGAAGTACCTGTCCCTCTGCCATACTATGTGGGATAAATTACAATATTTTGTGACATAGATAGCTGCATTGTTTATATTTCTTGGCAGGGTACTGTGTGATATATTAACATAAAATACAAACTTACACACATGTTTCGGTACCCTTTGCAGGGGTTGGGGTACTTCTGAGACACACAAGTGGGCAGTTCTACTTATGACTGCATCTACTGAATTTTAGTCCTCAGCCTTCAGGAGCCTGGGGAAAAGCACTCTGCTCTCCCTCTCGGTACAGCTGTGTCAGCTGTGCACAGCTGTTCCACATCAGTCTGTGTACGGGCAGTACTTCCCAAGGACACACCACAAACACCACACTCCCAAGTTATGTGTCATGCTACATGGTTAGTAGATAGTTAAAAAAAAGTGGCCCAAAAATAGATTAATATTGGGGTATACATCTGACTTACTTTTAAACGTTTTTATTTCACTTTTCCTATGTTTGTGTGTATGTGTATGGGTGCGCATAAGTGGAGGTCAGAGGACAACTTAAAAGTTGATTCTCCCATTGCACTGTAGGTTCTGGGGTCTACCTTGAGTCATCAGGTTTGGGAGCAAGCACCTTTACCTGCTGAGCCATCTTGCCAGTCCCTGATTTAGTTTATAACAGTTGTCTTCACTGACACATCAGGAAGACTCTTCGGTGCCTTTGGGGGACTACTTTGCCTCTGCGTCTTTTGCTCATCCATCTCCTCCTTGGCATGCAACACATTGTGTCTGTATCAGCTATTACAGGGGAGTACCCTCTGAGCTGTTCTGATCTTCAGCAAAGACCAAGTCAGATGCCTCATTTCCTGGTTGGTTGCCCCAGAGCTTGTACCTATATGCATTCTTAGTCACTCAACCGCCTTAAGTGGAGTTTTTCACCCTTACTTTGCATTTGAAATTCCTCTTTTAGACATTTAACAAATTGAGGGTAGACATAATTCTACTTAGTCTGGGAGACTTTAGTTCAGATTTTATTTCTTTCCAAAGTTGGAGCAGTGAGATTGTGAGAGCCTGTGTGAGCTTCTCTGGCACTAATGTTTTCCTGTGGGCTTTTGCAGGAGACGTCCCGTTACACCTTAGTATAAGGGAAGCTTCAGATAAAGGTCAGCCAGTTGTGTTTTCCCAGCCTGAAAGTGAGGAGGTAAGTTACATTTTTATGTCTTTCTTTTTGTGAGCTGTATCCTTTATGATATACAGAATTAGGGAGCTTTAGTTAAGCTTGCTTGTACACAGGACATATGCATAGACAAAGGCTGCTTACCCTGACTTTAGGTCACTCATCGTGCCACGTGCTAGGCTGAAGGTGTGGATACCAAACTCTCAGTTCAGGCAGCAGACAGCTGGCCTCACTCCAGGCAGTTTTCTCGTGAAGAACCCATGTTGAGAACTTGCTGGCCGGCAGCTGCTAACTGCTCCAGAGTGTGACACTTCAGCATTGCACCTTCAGCTGGTTGTGGAGAGGGAACCTGACGTGAGAGAGCGATGCATGGAGCATCCAATCAGGGATGAGATTTTCGCTGTGGTTTTTTTCAAGGAATATGATTGGCAGCAAGGCAGAAAACCTAGTAGTGTTTCCTTAGCCAGCATCCTGAGGGATAACTGATAGAGTTTCTAAGTTGTCGAAATATGAAGTTTTTAAGGATAAGCATTTTATTATAATGTTTTCTGAAAAATAGACATGAAATCAGTCACGGATGTATCTTCTTTCCTGCTTAGTCCTTGCCGTTTAAGTTGGAAGCTCAGTTATCTGTGTGTTAGTTTGCATGTAGTTTTTATGCCCCTTCGTCAACACCGCAGTCTTCCTGTCCACCCTGTCCCCCAACTCCAGCCCTGCCTTAGTGGGTGGACTCTTCCTGTCCACCCTGTCCCCCCAACTCCAGCCCTGCCTTAGTGGATGGACTCTTCCTGTCCACTCTGTCCCCCAACTCCAGCCCTGCCTTAGTGGATGGACTCTTCCTGTCCACCCTGTCCCCCAACTCCAGCCCTGCCTTAGTGGATGGACTCTTCCTGTCCACTCTGTCCCCCAACTCCAGCCCTGCCTTAGTGGATGGACTCTTCCTGTCCACTCTGTCCCCCAACTCCAGCCCTCCCTTAGTGGGTGGACTCTTCCTGTCCACTCTGTCCCCCAACTCCAGCCCTCCCTTAGTGGATGGACTCTTCCTGTCCACTCATGACCACTACCGTGTTCATTCTTGTTCACTCCTCTCTCATCTATGAACAAGAAAGTGTAAGAACGAAGCCCGGTTAATGCCATGAATAAAGTGAGAGTACATTTGATCTAGTCATGAATGAACAGCACTGATTCATTTAGTTACCCTTTGGTGGGCACAGAGCACCGTTCCCTGTCTTGAATGTCAGCCAGTGTGGTACAGCTGCTGGAGAGTGACCTTTGAGTAAATACAATATAGCCCTTATTGTTTTCCTTTTCTCTGCCTTTCAGGTATTAAATTTCCTTTCCACGTTTTCCTCAAAGAACTTTCAGATAAGCAAAACCATAACTCTTTATTGCTTTCATGAAAAGTTTGAAATGAGGGATTTTTTAAAATTATGCACATTAAAATGATTTCCAGGAGCAGAATATTTAAAGGTATTCTGTGGTGATTCCTTACAAATAACAGTATTTTTTAAGGTATTCCTATCTGTTCATTATTGCTTACCCACCCACCCCCCTTTACAATACTCCAAAAATAAGAAGCAATTCATTGAGTTAGAGGAATGTCATTTAACAGAGAACAAATCGTCCAAAGATAATACAGTTTTAAATGCTAAGCAGTTGTATTTGCAGTGTCTTCGGAATTAATGTTTCTGTGGCCTGATTTACATGTGTGGTGACTGGGTCTCACTGTTCCTAGGAGACAGTGCTGAAGGTCCTAAAACAGCCTCGTTCTTTGGAGCTAGGCTAGTTTTGGTTAAGTTTCTTCAAAAATGATAAAAGTCTCATGCACTCATCATCAGTGTTAACTATGAAGGCTTTTGGTCAGTTTTAAGCAGAAATGCCATGAATAGGAAAGTGTGTAGTGAGTGCCCAGTTCCTTGTTCCCCATCCATGGAAGCAATTACTTCCGTTCTGGAGTTGCGGATGTCGTCGTTGTCATTGTTGGTCATATTCTAATAATAGCAGTCAGAGGACCAGAGACCAGTCAGGCTTTTATACACTGATTTAACAACTCAGTGTGCTGTGTAGGGAATCCCCCTATTGCAGATGAGGAAACTGAACTCAAGGAAGATGAATCATTTCCCCCAGGGCTGTCACAGAGCTAGTGAATTATAAAATAGTAAGAAGCCAGTCTGTTCTTCTCAGTGAGACCGTTTACGTTGTGTCAGCCTCTGGCTCTCATATTAACAGTTCCGACTTCTTTCCTTTCTTCTAAGAGACTGGCACGATGCTAAGTACGTTCCTAACCTTCCTCACTTGGTTCCCGTAGCCTCCTTGTGAACACATTCAATCTCCTTACCCCTAGGCAGGAGTTTGTTTACACTGGAAGTTTGTCCAGGCTAGTGCTAGAAGGCACTTGCACACTCAGCTGATACACAACCCATGCTCTGGGGGACAGCTGAGGAGAATCTGCCCCTCAGGTTCTGCTAGCAAGGAGAGCCATGGAGCAGGGCATGGGGTCCTAACCTGCTCAGAGAGTCCCTGGAAATCTTGTCCAAAATGTGTCAAGGTGCGTTTTTCTGGGAAACTGCCCAAGAGCCGTGTTAAGAGTCATAAAGGGGATCTCTGAAGAGATGGAAAAACAGAATTGGAGTCCATGCAGAGTGATTGCCAAGCTTACCACTATCTAGGTGGGACCCCAAAAGATCTCCTTCCGCTCTTGAAGCTTTCTCCCTATCTATATATTAATGCCATGTGGGGGGAGGGGTTAAACCAGGCATATGAACTGCACTGGAAGATGGAGAATAGATCAGAGCTGCCCTTTCTGCCTTTAGAAGCTTGCTGTCCAAGGTGTCCTAGCCTCAGTTAAAGGGCTAGGTCCATGTGTGCCCTGACCCTTACAGCATCAAGGAATGTCACTCCAATGGCCTACAGTTGAGAGTAGCAGGATTTGATCATGGGAGTTGAGTTCCCAGCTTGAGCATTAATGAAAACATTTCTCGATATTAAAAGACTGTAACTGAGTCCTGAAACCTGCCTCTACCTAAGATGCATCTTGCCTCCTGATAACTTTCTGTATCCCCGCAACACAAGTAAGCTTGCTTCGGAAAGTTTAACTCTCCAGTGGTGTTTCACTTTCAGGAGAGATGAATACTACTGCATGGCGGTGACGCAGGTAGAGGTGTGGGTTCTGGTGAATTTGAGGCGTCATTTGAGAAGTTGGGAGGGCTATGACACCAGTTAAGAGCTAATGGTCGCTACCTACCCGTGAATGGGCCCAACTTTGTGTCGGGGCACCAGTTAGAGGAGAAGAGTAACTGAAACAGGATGATGTAACCCCGGGTGCAGACGAGGAAGGGCAGATGGTGGCTGCTCTGAATCCAGCCCTTAGTGTCATAGCATCGCCCCATGCTCGCAGAACTGTATCTGACCTTTGCCTCTGCTGAGACCACTACGCATGGAATGGACGGTGACAGGTGATTTGTATGGCCTTATCATTTGTAGCAGATAAAAATATCAGCACACAGAATGATATCCTCTTAGAAGATACTCTTGGTGAAGATTTTCAAATATAAATGGAAGATTTATTGTCATATAATTTCTAGATCATCTCCCCACTGCCTTAATATGAACAAAATATGATAAACCAACTACAGATATTTCAAAGCGAAAATGAAACTGACTTCCATACAATTTCTTTCACTCTGGTCCCATTTGTTCCGTATTTCCTGGTAGTGACGGCACAGACAGAATTCCTTTAGATGGCCTAGTAGACAGGCCTAATAGCAGGGAAGTTGAGTTAATAAACGGATAGTAGTAACAACTTGAGAAATCTCAATTATATATTTTACACAGATGTATCTGTGGCGTTTATGCTGGATGACAGAAACAAGGATTTCATTATTCCTCAGGAAGAAATGTTCTCTAAAAGTATCCATGTGAGCTACTCAGTGAGACTGCAGCGCTATCTTTCTCTCTCTCTCTCTCTCTCTCTCTCTCTCTCTCTCTCTCTCTCTCTCTCTCTCTCTCTCTCTGTGTGTGTGTGTGTGTGTGTGTGTGTGTGTGTGTGTGTGTTTGGCATTTTGAGAGTTTTCTATAACCCAGTGTGGCTTTGAACTCCTGTTCATGTTTCTACCTCCCAACCACTGGGATCACAGGCGTATGCCTCCATGCCATGCCTGGTCAGCCTGCCCATTTCTTAGTGGCTACTTAAGCTGTGCACACTCTGAGCCGGCACTTGACATGCCTTCTCATAACCGTGGGGAGTGTGTGCTGGCCCCACAGACAGCTTACAGCTGTGGAAACACCCCAGGAGGGATTTGTCACTAGCCAAGGTCCTTCAGCTAACCAGTCATGACACCAGGCCTTCCAGCCCAGCCTGTGTGACTCCAGGGCCCCTCTCTCACAAGCTATTCTGCCTCCTGGTAAATCATTACATCCTACGGACTTGCCAGCACAGGGCTTCACATGCAGCAAGGACCAAAATGGATTTGTTGAAATGATACAGCACTGCCTGAAAAAAAAATCAGCCTCAACAGTTCTGTAGAGATCAAATCTGTCCAACTCAGCACTTTCGGGGGCTCCATAGCGAATGCCAATCTAACCATTACCTTGAATGTGATACCCTGGGGGTCTAAACTCCATTAAAGAACAAAGATTGAGTGTGACAAATTTAATTATTCTGGAATCATCCAGAAGTTTTTGTGTTATGGTAGGTGCTAAATGATTATGGAATGAAATCCTTGATCCAGCTGTTAGAACTCAGGCATAAATAAAGATATGTGAGATATGTTTCATTCAGCAGATGCAGGACTTCTCCATAGTGTGCCACACTGGAGGCCGGGGCCGGGAGGCTGACCACTTTGGCTCAAAGTCCAACTTGCTACCAAGTAGTCATACTGTTTTAGACAGTCTTCACTTTTCTAGGTCATGGTTTCCTCATCTGTAACGTGAAGATGACTATAGAATTTATCCCTGAGGTAACTATTAGGTTATAAAATAACTGGCAAATAGGAAGTTGGATAGTTTTTAATAATAGTGGTAGTGTGGTCATAACTATATCAGTAGAAATTTGTGCTTTTACAAAAATCTTTGTATGGGTAGGGTGACCCACACTTGGGAGGCTGAGGCAGGAGGATTACAAATTCAAGGCTAGTCTGGACTACATGGTGAAACCCTGTCTCAACAGATAAAGAAAAGCCTCACTGTTTCACAGTTACTGTTTATGGATAAGACCGGCAGTTACTTTTTATAAATATCTGCATTGCACTTGTCTAAGAGAATTTTTTAAATTCAGATCTCATGGTCATTGTAACCAGACAATGGGCACTGTGTCTTTGGGTCCTCTCTTAGTAATGCATTGTGCTGGGGATCCCAGAGACCAGGTATGTGACACTTGAACCAGGAATCTTTGCACAATGCCCAAATTCACCTGGAAAAGAGCTGTCATGTGCTCTGGTCTGGGGAGAGTGGGGAAAATGTCCTCTAAAGGGAGAGCATAGGTGGTAAGAAGTAGCTCTCTTTCAATTGGCTAATTTGCTTTATGCCAAACGAGAGTTGGCAGTCTCTGACTCAGTATTTCTCCAAGGAGGAAGGTTTAATTTTTCTGCAACTTAACTAGGTTGTTAATTTGCTGACATTAGAATTAGAATTTGAAAGACAGCCATTGCTGGCATTGATTTCTTTCAGAGAGTCACCTTCCAAGTCTTTACTTTCTAATTCTGTGAGCCCCTTTCTCCTGTGGCCCCCGGCAGTGTACCCTCACTGGAGTTCTGCAGCCCAGACTGCTGCTTTACCCCCAGCTACAACAGCGGCCATCTGTGACACAGTTCAGGAGTCACTCTGTGTCTGCTGGGAACATCGAACAATGAGTCTGTTCTTTTCCAGGCCAAAGCTTACCTGCACATTGCTTCAGAAGTGGTAAGAAGATTGCAGCCACCTCCAGAATGATGTCCAAGTGCCCTGGAAATTGTCCTGGTGTTTGATAATCACAGACTGTCAAAAAGTGAGCATTGTGGATGACTGTCATGATTGTTTTCTTTCATTTTTAAAGAAATGTCTCATTTTCAGATTTGATTTGACAGCCCATGACTCACAAATAAAGTTTGTATGTGTCTGTGCTGACCGCTGTGTTTGGGGTTAGAAAACCAGTTTGTCAGCCTCACTGTTCATTCTGCCACCTCTTGAAGAACTGTGCCCTCCATGATGCTGCACTCCCAGGTTTAAAGAGAAATGCACTCCCCTGCTGAATATCGATGAGTCCTCCAACTGTTTCTAAGTGCGTGTGGATGTAAATGAAGCACCTTGCCAGCAGGCAGTTGGGCTGAGGTTTGGACCTTGCCTGTAGCCCTGTCTTAAACATGTTCTTGATAGAAAGGACTTCTGCTTCATGTGGCCCAGACTCGATGACTCTGACTCTCCCGGATGGGGCCAGGGCATGGATAATAATTTTGGTTATGATGGTGTTTTAGCCACTGCTCTATTACTGTGAAGAGACACCATGACCATGGCAGCGCTTATGAATGAAAGCCTTTCATTGGGCCTTGCTAACATTTCAGAGGTTTAGTCCATTATCAGCATGGTGCAAGCATGGTGGCCTGCAGGCAGACGTGGTGCTGGAGAGGAGCTGAGATTCTACATCTGGATCAGCAGACAACAGTAAGAGAGACACCTGGTTTGAGCATTTGGAGCCTCAAAGCCCACCCCCAGTGACACACTTCCTCCAACAACGTCATACTTCCTACTCCCTGTCATGGAGCACCACTCCCTAATAACTAAGCATTTAAAGATATGAACCTATTGGGGCCATTCCTATACAAACAACCACAGAAAATAATTGTGATAATAAAAATAACTTGTGTCCAGTGATTCCTATAGCCTTAGACTTTCTCATTCATACCAGTGGGCACTGTTCATTTTATGAATGATGAACGGAGGTATGGGAAAGGTAAGTGCCTTTTTGTTGGTAGGTTCCTATTTCTAGCAGATGACAAAGCTGCCATTCAGCCACCTTTGCAGTTTACTGAGTGAGTCCTCCCTTGTACAACATTAAGTATATTCTGATTGCGAAAGAGAGGCTTAGTGTTTGCTGTAATCATGACATCCCAACCCCCTCCTTAGGAGTATTTCATGGTATTCATGTTTCCAAGAATATACTTTGGAAAACAAGTGTCGTGTCTAATTGAAACACAGATAGACAGCCAAAGACATCCCAAGGTCAGGGAGCTGTAAAGCTGCAAGTACTGATAAGAGCCCAGGAGTGCATCCCTGGTTTATGGTCAGCTACACAGAAGTGGTCTTTGCCCTTTGGCAAATCTATGGTGTCCTGGGATGCTGCTCTTTAATTGGCAGCTAGAAAGTTAATCAAAGGGCAGATATACCGTCAAACAACTACATGGACATTTCTAGCACCTTATATGGGAGAGTCAAAAAGCCAGGTTTTTGCACTGAACAAATGATTAGATTACATGGTTATAAAACATCTATACTGTGATAGTACTCCACAGCTGAAAATGAGAAAACTGAGGGTTCATGCAACAGTCTCATTAAGGTGGTGAAACATATGGTCCACTTATAAATGCTTTTGAAGTGAAAAGGATGATAGATTACCTTGTTGCCATGTAAGGAAAGGGTGGAGATAGGAAACTGAGTAACTATAAAAGAACAACATGAGGAATCCTAGTAAGGATGGCAGTATTTCCCCCAATGCAGTACTAGGGTGGAATTTAGAGTTTCACACATGCTAGGCAAGGGCTCTGCCACTGCTATATTTCTATCCTTCTGCTTGCTTTTTATTTTTGAGACAAGATCTCACACAGTCTACAGGCTGATCTAGGACATGCTGTGTAAGTCAGGCTAGCCTTGAATTCATGATATCCTACCTCAGCCTACTGCATATCTGAGATTACAGGCCTGAGCCACCAGGCCTGGATGGTGGAAGGCTTCTCTCTTATGCTTTTTATTGCTTCATTGTGATTTCAAGATTGCACTACAGTTGAGTTACAGGCACATGGAATCTCTGTTTTGCTTCTTAAAATTGCATGTAAATCTGTATTTATCTCCAAAAAAAAAGGTAAAATTGAATTAAAAGAAATCTGTATATGATGAAATGTTTGGATCAAGTCACCCATACTAACTCTTGAAGGGAAATCTTCATGAACACACAGTAATCATTATTCATCACTAAAAGGATAATAAAGGCTTAAATTTCAGATATATATTTGTATCTTATTGTCTGTCTAGTAAGGGGGCACTATAGATGGCCATAGAGCACGTGTAAATGCTGAGAAGAAACTACAGAAACCAGACTTCAATTGGAAAAGAAGGCACGAGTAAGCATCAGGGGTGCTTTACTCTGTGCCCTTGTGATTGAACACACCTACAGGGGAGGTGGGAGAGGCTTCCTGCATACATCCATGATGTTGAGAGGGCCAGCACATACTATCTCCTGCTTCCTTTTCCTTCACTCTGTGATTCTGCAGATACCTCAAGAAAATGCTGCTGGAGAGAAGCACGGCTTTGAGCTTAGATAGCTGTGAAAGGGGGAAGACCGGAAGCAGAAGCGGAAATCCAGGAAGTGAGCCAATCTGGCTAATTAAGATTCAAAGAGCTGTCACCGGAGTATGCTAGTCTGCCTGTTGGCAAAGGTGGATGTTTAGTCCTCATCTGTCACGTTTCCTTGGGTGCAGAGAATTAACATTTCACTGTCCAGGAGGAAAAATAAACTCCTTCACTTTCCATTCCAGGAAACAAAAGGTGACCCAATTTATGAGAAAACCTCTTCCACAAACCTCTGCAATTCTTTTTTTCAGCCGAACCTTAAGATTTCTAAGGCAGGCCTCAGGGAAATGGAAAGTTCTCTGTCTATGCCTTGGTGGGTTTTTTGGTTTGGTTTGGTTTGGTTTGGTTTTTTAAGATAAGGTCTTACTATGCAGCCTGGCATAGTCTTGAACTCTTGGCCCTACTTCAGGCATCCAGGTGTTGGGATTTCAGATGTGCACCCACTCTGGGCTCTGCCTTGCCCTGGAGTGGGTGCATCCTGCTAACTTAAACTTGTGGAGTTGGTGGCTTACTGTGGTCACATGTCCTTTAAGGTAAGTTTGTGCTGACACTAGAAGTGTTTGCCTCCATCTGATTTTTGTTTTTCTCAGTTCCAAGCAAGGAAATAATCCCCAAGCTCCTACTCTATTTCAAGAAAACAAAACCCTGTGACTCCTAGAACATTAAAACTGCATGTAGAGTCCAGATAGCCCTGTCACTCTACTCAAGCATTTTCCCTGAAAAGTTAGTTTACCAATGGTTAGAGCATTTTAAAGGAATGCTTGTTCACCTATGTAGTGCACTCATGGGCTGTGTGTGTTTGTGAGTGTATGTATGCTGGTGTGCGCATGCACATTCTGAGGTCAAAGAACACCCCATGGAAATGAGTTTTCTCCTTCCACTGTTAGGGTTCCAGGGGTCACCCTCAGGTTGTCAGGGTTGGTGGGCAATGTCTGTACACACTGAGCTGACTCACTGCCTCGGAAGTTTTTTGAAGGGACTGGAGGGTGCTGCCATAAAATTAATACATACATAAAAAGCACTGCAGATGGACATCTGAATTGGTTCAATGATAACTCCAAACCCTGCCACTCTGAACTTTCCAAGATAATTTCTTGGTATCTGTGCATGTTGAATTGTTTATTTAATAAGAATGGAACTATTGACAGTGGTTAACTGGTATTTCATTGGCTTTTAGTTAGAAATTCCCAAAGCACAAAGGCTTTGGAACACAAAGGAACAACTTTGTGTATACTTGCTGGCTAATTGAGTAGTTTCTTTCATGTAGAGCCTTGCCAGCCTTTTTGCCTCTTCTGTTGTAGTTGTATTGTTGGCACTTTATGTATTCTTGGTGTCGCTCTTTTGTCAGTTTTATGTGTTGAAATTCCTTTTCCCATTCTGCGACTTGCCTTTTCTTCTCATAATGTTTGTTGAACAAAAGATCTTACAGTTTCAAATTTCCCATACTTTTCCCTGTTGACTTTTGTGACCCATCTGAGGACGGTATTTTTTCCATGTGGATATCTGATTTTCCAGTCCCACTGACAATGTCCTTTCTCCTTTGCTACCACCTTCTATGTAAAGTCAGTGGCTGTTTGTCCGGCCTCTGTCCTAGTTCACTGGTTTATTTACTTCATATTGATAACCCATTGTTCATCATCACGATGTTTTCCAATAATATTTTAGCAATTCATGATTCTTTGCCTTCCCATATAAATAGTTTGTGCAATTCAAGGGCAACAACAGAACTGGAGAGAATTTCAATTTGACTAAGGATGAGAGGATGAGAACCAATGTCACACCACTTAACAGAGGGCAGGGGAAACTATGAACTACAGAATTTTAATTTTCTAAAGAACAGTCAACAACTGAAGTTATAGAGCAGCCAAGACAGGCCTCTGGGTTCTAAGTAGCCGTGTCCTGCCCATCCAAAGGGCTCTCTGGGAATTGCCTCATCCTGTGAAGGACATGCCTAGCTGCACCCATGCCAGTTTTCCCGATTGCTTTCTCGGAATGGCTTTCTGATGCAATACACAAGGCATTCACCTCCAGGAGGTGACTTTCTCGTACTTACTCTAATCTTCAGCTGATTTTTGTTTTAGAAACAGGATTTGTTATGTAGATAAGGCTGGCCTTGAACTGGAAATCCTCCTGCCTCTGTGTCCTTAGTGCTAGGATACAGGAGTGATCATCATTATCTGGTGACTGATTTTTCAATCACTCCAAAAGACAATGATAGCAATGTATTGTGGTTCTGTAGGAAGTGAAAACAAAATATATGTGTGGCAAAAAGGATGAGGACTGAAGGTGTGCTTACATGAGAAAGTTTGCTTGAAGGTAGATAATGGATAATTAAAGCCAAGCAGTGTGAAGTTTAGATCAGCTATTCTTAAAAATAATATGTTAGTAGTAGAGATAAAAATGAATTATTTTAAAAAACTAAATTTGATCCAAAACCAAGCAGAAATAAAAAAAGAGAGAAAACAAAATCAGTGGCATGGTGATGTATTTTAATCCAAATAAATGCATAAACTTAGTAACCAGAAATATCCACTAATGAAAAGAAATTGTCAGACTAAATAAAAAGAAAGACCTAACTCTATACTGTCTAGAGAAAGCTACCTGTTCCCCATTTCTCTTCCCCATGCCACCCACCTCCCCCAAACATTACTTTCTCACTTTGTTGCTGTGCTGGTCTCTTAACTCCTGGGCTCAAGTGATCCAAACTCAACCTCATGAGCCACCAAGACTACAAGCCCACAATACCATATCCAGTGTTTTCAGTAATATTTTTACTAAGTTCTTTGAGTTCCAGCCCCTTCTCCCTACATTCCCAACTTATGACCTTATTTTCCCCCATAACCCATTGATTCCAATTTCTGCTCTTCATATGTGAGTGTAGGGTCATCCACTGGAGTGATGACACCTACCAAGTGTCAAACCCTTAAAGATAATTGACTCTTCCTCCTCTAGAAGCTATCAGCTGTCCATAGCACCTCAGTTAGGGATGGAGGCTCTTGAACTATTCCACACTGGAATGTCAACTGGCTTGAGCTAAACACTTATGTTAAAAGAAAAGATTAATGAAGTTATACCATGTAAACATCAAAAGATGAATAAATTGACTATAGTATTAGATACCATAGATTAGAGAACAAGAACTAGTAATGGGTGAAGAGGTACCATGTAATAGTAAAGGTATTGTAGCCAAAAAAGATACCATGACTCTAAATCTGTGGCCACATTGCAAAACAATCTTCAAGTACAGAAAATAGGATTCAGTAAACTAAACATAAATTCACACGTGTAGTTGGGGACTTTAATGCTAC